GAGGAGTTTGGGCAAAGTGAAATTGGTTACTTAGGTGTGGACTCTATCTAAATTCTAAGCTTCATTGTCTTTTTTTAACCATCTAGCAGCTACAAAGAATAAATAGAATAGGGTGGTCTTAGTACATGATAGTGGGCCCTTTTTTTGGTAGCAACAGTGGGAAAAGGCAATGTTTAAATTTTGAAATGTTGCCTGTTTTCTATATATAGAGAGATTTAAGCTTGATAAGCTTAGTTTGAAATTCCAAGTTCAAAAAGTTTTCACTTCTAAAAACAGGTGGCAGGTTTTAAGAAGCAAATGGCCGATACTGGAAAACTGAACACACTGTTGCAGAGAGCTCCACAGTGTCTTGGGAAGTTTATCGAGATTGCTGCCCGTAAGAAGCGAAATTTCATTCTGGATCAGGTAAGCAGTAGCTTTGAAGTTGAAAAAAAGTAACTGAAAATTGGGTTTAGTGTAGAATTAATCAACTTTTTTTTTTTTTTTTAAAGACAAATGTGTCTGCTGCTGCCCAGAGGAGAAAAATGTGCCTGTTTGCAGGCTTCCAACGAAAAGCTGTTGTAGTTTGCCCAAAAGATGAAGACTATAAGCAGAGAACACAGAAGAAGGCAGAAGTAGAGGGGAAAGACCTACCAGAACATGCAGTTCTCAAAATGAAAGGCATGGAATTCAATTTTATTATTAGATATTTTTTTTGTGATTTGTATCTGTAAACTTAACATTTTCTGCTGGTAATACTGTTTCAGGAGTTATACTAGCTTCTTGTAAATGAGGATGTTTGGCTTATTTCTACTTTTAGGAAAATAGGTTAGTAAACCAGGAACGTATATTGTCTTGTGTGTGTTAAAAAACAAAGCCATTCAAGAGTTGGAGGTTTAGGGATTGTGAATGTTTGTTAATCGGACTTCATTTCTTGTAGGAAACTTCACACTGCCAGAGGTAGCTGAGTGCTTTGATGAGATAACCTATGTCGAGCTTCAGAAGGAAGAAGCCCAAAAACTTTTGAAGCAATATAAGGAAGAGAGCAAAAAGGCCCTTCACCCAGAAAAGAAACAGAAAAGCAATAAAAATAAGAGTGGCAAGAACCAGTTTAACAGAGGTGGTGGCCATAGAGGACGTGGTGGATTCAATATGCGTGGTGGAAATTTCAGAGGAGGAGGCAAGTAAATTTTGAGTTTTCTCTTTATTTGGTTCAAGATTGAAACAAGTGAAAATCTTTTAATTTGGGTCTACATGTTATTTAGCTGAATTTAACATAGGCAATTTGATCCTCATATTGATTGTAGTTCCTCTAGTTTAAAGATCTAATGGGATCTGGTGGTATACACACACACCTAGGTTATGTCAATGGTTAAATTAAACATTACTTTTGTCTTTAAACATTTATTTTTTGCCTAAAATAAAAGTATGGTCCAGAACCCTAAGTCATATGAGTAAAAGAGGCACAGCACACTGTAAACAAAAATGTCTCTCTCTTTTTTTTTTTAAAGCTCCTGGGAATCGTGGTGGATATAATAGGAGGGGTAACATGCCCCAGAGAGGTGGTGGTGGAGGCGGAAGTGGTGGAATTGGCTATCCCTACCCTCGTGGCCCTGTTTTTAGCAGCCGTGGTGGCTATTCAAACAGAGGGGGAAACTACAACAGAGGAGGAATGCCCAACAGAGGGAACTACAACCAGGTAATGATTTATGATCCCTGCAGGCACTGGTCCCTGATATCTGTATAAATGAGTCTGAAAAGAGTAAGCTTCTGTTGCATCGCCTCAGTAAGAATTGTATTGAACATTGAATGCACTGACATGAGAAAAAATGAGTGATGGTAGTAAAATGAGTCCACTTAAGTTTGATTTTCAGGTACACTGGCAACTATTCATTTTTGTGTTGTGTGCACCTCCCATGTTACAAACCTTAGAAGTTGTGCTGGGTTCTTAAAAGATTTTTCTGTATTTTTACATTTTAGAACTTCAGAGGACGAGGAAACAATCGTGGCTATAAAAATCAATCTCAGGGCTACAACCAGTGGCAGCAGGGTGTAAGTAATTTCTTATGTGCTTATGTACATTAAATTGTATTTTGAGTTCGTAAGAATCATTCTTCAAAAAGATCTTATCCAGGGATTGAAGTGTTTGTAAGTGTTACAGGGCAAGTTGTGAATTGTGTTGCAGTTGTAGCCATAATCTTATCTTTTTAAGGCAAAATAGGTTGGAGTTTGCTGTTAACTTAATTTTTTTTTTAAATGAAGTAATATTACTTAATACATATGGTTCTTTTTACTACTAGCTTTAATTGTATAAACTAACCAAGTCCTAATGTGTTTCTTTTTGTAATGTGTTTATTGATAATAATGGGATATTAATACTAACTGAATGTGGTTTGATAGAAATCAGAGGTATGACAGGTATAAGTTTGTTTCCAGCAATTACTCTGAATTAGATTCATTGTCATTTCCTAAAAGCAGTTTGAGTGGCTTATTGATGTTTTTTCTTTAAAAAAAAATTTTCTCTTACAGCAATTCTGGGGTCAGAAGCCATGGAGTCAGCATTATCACCAAGGATATTATTGAATACCCAAATAAAACGAACTGATACATATTTCTCCAAAACCTTCACAAGAAGTCGACTGTTTTCTTTAGTAGGCTAACTTTTTAAACATTCCACAAGAGGAAGTGCCTGCGGGTTCCTTTTTTAGAAGCTTTGTGGGTTGATTTTTTTTTCTTTTCTTTTTTGTACATTTTTAATTGCAGTTTTAAAGTGAATCGTAAGAGAACCTCAGCATTGTGCACGATAAGAGAATGTGTCAGTATTTCAGGGTTCTACATTTTATCTGTAAAATGTGACTTTTTTTTTATCACAACAAAAGTAAAATGTTGCTTTGTACCTGGTGTCTTTTATTAAGAATTTACTCCCCCCCATTTCTCACAGAGATAACAGTCGGGAGTCATTGTCACAATATAATAGAAATGTTAGCAACCAGATTCATGTAAGGACTAGATGGTCCTCATGAATTGCATAAGACTCTGTACTGCTCATATTACACTCCATCCTCTCTGTAGTTTGCTGAGTAGTGGAGGGGGTATGCTAAATAGTAGTTTCTGACAATAACTGGGAAGGCTTTTTCTTTTTAAATAACAATGGAATTGGCATAATTGAATGAAGATAAAACTTGGAACCAAGATAGAGAAGATGGAGTGTATGTAGAAGGGCTGTTAAAAATGTAAAACTTGGTTGTATTATTTGTGGAGGCTCAAACTTGTGAAGGTTAAATACCATAATTTTTCCATTTGTTCTGCATTTTGATTCTGAAAAGAAAGCTGGCTTTGCCCATTTCTTATTAAAAAAACTTGTTGTAAATCCAGTTGTCTAATGGGATCTATATGAAGTTAGCTATGTCTGTATGCCCTTCTCCCACAAAATACTGTATAACTAGTGTGCTTGTAGTAGTTAACTCCACCATCTTTGTAAGCTAATGCAATTGTGAGTCACCCATTTATATCTTAATTTTTAATCATGTCAGTTCTTGAATGGGTATCTCCTTAGCCTGCTGATTTCTTTTTCTTTCTAAAGAAAGTGGGTGGAGAAATTAATTTAGACGTTTGTTTGCAATAAAAAGAATTCATTTTACTCTCGTTTTGGGATTCTCGCCATCAAGGTTCAAAATCCCTTTTTAAAACTCCCAAGAGGAGAAAACTTAAGTGTGTGCTTTCTGGACAGCTTATTCTTTACTCTGTACTTGGAACATTTAGGTTTTAAAAACTTAAATGTACACTGACAATTGATCTTAATTATGAAGTAAAGTTGAATTCTTCCCTTCCCCTCCCCCGCAGATGACTTAACATTTAATGAGGGGAAAAGGTAATGGCTGGGAGAAGTAAACACTCCGTTAATCATCTTAACAAAATGCTAATGGCTGTCCTCAACTGATATTTTATATACATATATAAAACATGAAACTCTGGGAACAGATGCTTTTAGAAGCCATCATGCAAGCCAGTCATTGATTTCATTACTACACAACACTGCTAACTTAACTATAGCTATGTGATAACATTAGATCCCCTAACTGTAATTTTATTGGGTTTGCACAGAACACTTAATCTTCTAAAGGACCCTCACTAATGTGAAGTGAGGAATCAGGAGTCAAACTGTAGAACTAAACTGTCAGTCTAGTGTTTTGTTGGTGTTCTAGGTTGCTTCTGGTAAGTTTAGGTTTGTCTATATTTGATTGCTTAAGTTTTTGTTTTAGCCACTTCAAATCAGATTTCTAACTTATACTACTAGGTTTTTTTGTTTTTGTTTTTTGCTGCAAGCCGAGCTGGAGTTGAGTTTTAGATGTTGGTTTGGATAGCTTCAGTTGAGAAATTTGTGGAACAGGGCTAACCTTATAATCACAGTAAGAATACTTAACTAGAAGGTAGTGTCTCAATGGCTTTTGTGTTTTTAGCAATTAGCTTACTGCTGGCATGAGTTACTTTATAGTATACATCATTACTAGGATTGCATAGACTTTATTTAAACCCAGGGTGGGCATTCAAACTTTGTTGCTAATCAGTGTTTAGATATTCTAAATGTTAAGGTGCCTTTTAAAAATGTTGAGTATAACTTCTAGTTTAAAATTGCTTACTAAGGATCCCATATTCTAATAATTGCAGTGTAAGAGTAATGGCTAAATGACAGACACTATTTGCTAGACTACCATGCCTGTGTGTAGCCCAGGAAATTCTGGGAAGAGAGATTGAATAAAACTGCTGTCCAGGAGAATGTTAAAAAAATTTAAGGAGTTAATAGTAATGATCAGAGTTAATAGTAATGTCTATGCTTATATGAAAAGAAATAATCTTGGAAGGTATGTAAGAAATTCAGAACAGGGAGTTGCACCACATAGCAAGCAAAGAGGGAGAAAAACGCTAAGATCTGTGAATGAGGAACTTGGTTTATTCACTTTTCCCTTTGCCCATCTCTCCTGGCACGCAAAACAAAAAAACGGGGATAGTGCTGAACAAATTCCCAACTATACCTAGAGAAAACTCACCTGTGAGATTGCAGTTGGTTGCAGGGATGCTTTCACTAGAAAGTTGCAGATACCAAGTCAGGAATTGAATCAGATTGGTCAGCTACAGTGGTATAACATAAAGAGGTTACTCAGGAAACTAAGAAAATGCTGCAAGATAGAAATGATGAAGCAGCTCAAACTGACATAACTTAGAAAGTTCTCTTTGTTGGTAGGTTACATCTTGTTACATAGATCTAGTCTTTGGTGGAGGGCTCTGGCTCTGATCTAGAAGGCTGTGACCAGCTTCTGGCCTTAATACCCAGGCAGCAAGGTGAAATCCTAAAATGAAGCACAGGGCAAATCGATTTGACATTGAAGTGACAAAAAGAAGCCATATTAAATCTACAAAACAAGCTCATTTGCCTAGGGTATACCCTGTCTGAAAAATGAGAAATAGGAAACTAGATATCCTAAGTACTAGCAATAATGTATTAAAGCTTAAAGACATTTTTCTTTGAAAAGGTACTTGGAAGTTTTCCAGGAAAGGTTTTCACCCACCTGGGGTGTTTACACTCATGGACAATCTGTTCTGTATTTAATATATGCCTCTGTTGTGGGAATTGACACTTTTATTCTAAACCATGTAAATTGGCTTTTAATCCTAGGACCATTTTTATAATAGGCTCCATTGCACAAATGAAAATGATTAAATATTTTAGTAGTTTTTAGACAGTGATATAGATACCTCTCATATACAATAATCTGATTGTGTCAGTTTACAAGAGTATATTTAATCTTTGCAAAAAGCCAAACCCAGATAAAGTTTATCCTAAAGGCATAAACGTCTGTCTTTCATAGTCCAAGTCTTAGTTTCTGGTGTTAGTTTAGACATGAATGCACATCTTAAAAACAGTTTCCATAATTCCATTTTCACACATAACTTTAAAATGTCTTTTTTTCCCTAAAATTCTCGAAATGGTTTGAGTCTAACTTTGTCATTGTTTTTTATTTCTGGGACTCTGAGAAAAACTGGGTTTAAGTTTTAGCGTTTCAGTAATAGTTAATAAAAGCAAGGGTATGTTATAGTCTAGTGATCATTACGTTTCAAGGGGCTATTTGTGCTTTGAGTAGGAATCTAAACTGCCTCAGAGCTCTAAACAGCAATTTGCATTTTTTAGTTATAAACCACAGTATCTTCAAATCATTTATTGCCTAAACTTAATCTAAAGATAGTTAAGCCATTCCTCCACTTCCACACTGAAACATGCAGGTGGTAGGTTTAGCCAGTTTAGCACTTTCATTTTTATTTAAGCTGCTCTAATCCCCAGGGTGGTTTGTTTTTTTTAAACCTAATACTGTTAACACAGGTACATGAAAAGATTTAGGTAGGTGGGAATGGCTAACAAAGACTTACACACTTACACTAAGGATATACTCTCAGATCCTATTTAATTGACTAAAAATGCAGGTGATTAAATGTGTTTAATTTGCCCAAGGAACTTAATTAAATCTATAAGGGATAGTAGATTGGAAATAGGTGGGAAAATAATACTCATAATGTTAACCAATAATTATTCAAAGAATATAACATCTTTTGTGATTAGGTTGGGAATGTGCTGTCAGTGTGGAAAGTTGAATAAGTACAGTTTTTTGGCATTATGTAAATGACCAGTAATTTTAGTTGTGATTGTAGGTCCAGTATTGGGGGAACAAATGGTGCAGATAACTGTTAGGCTAGAACACCCGTAATCACTGCTTGGTTAGGTTGGACAGGGAACTTAACTATGTGTTTAATCTGTAATTATCTAATTATTACCTAGGATTATTATAATTTTTTTCCCTCCCTTTTTATGCCAGGAGTCCACATTAACTTTTGCAACTTGACAAGGAACCAGGGGTTTTACTTTTAAACAAAGCTGGATCTGGGGGTATGAGAAACTAGACTATAGTCTAAAGTGATGAAGTAATAGCATTCTAGACAAACAGAAATGCACAGAAAGGTTTAGGCCCTTATTGCACTGTTCAAGTCACAGTTCTGTACCAGTGGCACAGCAGTCACCGTGAACCTGTCCAGCTCAAGGATATGCATACTGGAGGACATGCAGGGATTACAGGCTAAAGAGCTAATACGGCATCTAACTGATAACACACTATTTGTGGCTTGTTCTTTTCTGCTGTTCCTTTTAACCCTTTGTGATCTTAAAGGAAGTAAAATTAGTTTTGTCCAGTAAATCTAGGCTTGCCAAGCACCCGAGAAGCATTGCCACAAAGTACTGCCAGCCAAAACATTTTTAAAAACAAAAGCCACCAAGAACAGTGAGACGGCCGGTATATACATCTAACTCCATTGACAAAAGCTTTAAAGTGTTAAGGCATACAGAGAGATGAGAGAAAACCAACTACTTCAGAATGAAGGGGGCTCATTTAAATGGCAACTGACAGGTTAATTTTTTAAAGTAGCTGTTAAGGTATTTTATATCAGTTAAGAGAGAAATTGGAGACATGTTCAAGTACAATATAAAAGGTTCCAACTTCACTTTTTTTTTTTTTTTTTGAAAAGTAATAAAGCAAAAACAAAAGTGCTGATTTAAATTTCATCTCCTTTTCCTTAGTCTGTCCATGTGAATGTGCTGTGTGGAAGAGTAAAAGGGTCCAACTAAATGTGTTCCAGTGATTCCAATAGGTATTCCAAATTAATTGCTGCTTGTACATTTAACACTTGTTACATTGAACTTTCAGGATCACTTTAATTAAAATTCTCCCCTTGTTTTAAAAAGATGGGGGAAAGGGAGACGGTTGGTAACCAGATGGGGTAGGTTCCATAACAGGAAAAAAGGCTTTTCTAATTTCTCCTTTGCACACCTGAAGTGAAGTATTTGGTGGTGTGTTAGCAATTGGCGATCCTCTTGCATAGGTTTAAGGCAGTATATGCAAATAGAGCCCAGTCCTCCTAAGGTTGGAGCCTTTTTCTGCTTAACTTTTTGCAAGACATTTGTTATAATGCCCTCCCTACCAGTAGAATTTAAGTGCAGTATTCAAATGCAAAAAAACACAAAACCCTAAAATACCTGCATGTTCTTAGTTTCCCCAACACTTTCTGCATCTACACTAAATGTATAGATATTTTTATTAGCTGAGAAAAATGATTGAGATCCTTTTGGATAATGAAGTGATATTTAGGAGGTGAATTTAAGTTTTAAAGGAATAAGAAGGCTCAATGTGAGCGTTGCCAGTCCAGAGAATGTAATGTGCCATTGCCCTGAAGTTTAAAACTTGATAAGAAGCTTAGAGGAAATGTGTTTTTCCTACTACATACTTCATAATACTGTATTTTGGTGAAATGAGAGGACTTGGGTGCTATGCTGATTTGAAATGTAGCTCGGGGTTTGCCCAATGAGAGTTCTAGTCAACTAAAAACAGTCTAGTAGCTTCTGAAGAACTGACAACTCTGTTTCAGAGTAAAAGGTAAAAATTATTTCTGTTCATCTGAGAAAAGTAAAACAAAATTACAAAGACATTTGTTTCCAAAATAAGCTTTGGATTTATATACTAAAGCACTTTTATTTCTATGAATTCCTCATGGGAAGAAATGTTTCTATGGAAACATCCTTTTAAGAAATCAGTCCATGCAGATTGTTTACTTTTGATCCCCCCAAGGGCCGAACTTTAGAAAAAAGGTGGAACAGGTACCATCTGTTGAATTGATCTAAACTTCTAAAGTGAACAGTACTTGCTCATAGTGTCACTGATGGCTTTCTCAAAGTAGAAATACTTGGGGAGAAGGTCATCCTTATTCTAGAAAAGGAAGAGGAAGGCAAATGTAGTGGTTGAAAAGACTTGTTTACTACACGTTAATCTGTAGTGCTCATGTTAATACTTTGAAAAATGCTTTCATGAGTTCTTCATCCCTAAAGCTTCCCTTTTAAGAGAAAATTTAAAAATGTAACTTAATGCACAAAATAAGTATGTAAGAAAATAGTATTTGGGTGGTACAGATACTGGTATATTATACTGACCTGATACGATGACCACTGGACCATATTTTAAGATGCTTCCAAAATTTATTCTGGAGGACCATTAAAAACCAATTATAGCAATTGTTTTAATTTTTCTACTTTCCTCATTAAGGTTTTCTGCTTACCCAAAGCATAGTGTATATATTAACATGACTTTTAAAGGGGTGCCTTGGCCCCAATCTGCAACAGATTTTTATCTAGGAATAGAAGGATTCAAACCCTATTTGATCCCTAGCTCTGTGCTGAAAAGTGCATAAACAGGAATCCTGAATTTATTATATAGACCTCCTCGCATTATATAATCGAAGCAAAGGGAAACCAGCGATGGAGTAGAGGTACGTAGACTAAAGAGATGCTTGCAAATCAAATAATGATAGTCAAAATTTCTTGTTGCCCAACTTGGTCACTATAAACCACAAGTCCAGAGAAAACCTTGTAGTTAATTTTAATTCCCTGAGGTACTTTTATTGAGATGTAAAAGCGAGTAGTCAAGGAAAAGCAATGGGGAGGGTCGAGGGAAGGGGGAAATACATAAGGCACTAGAAAGTTAACAAAGTAGGTATGACAGATAAGCCACAAGAAGTTTTAAAAACTACTAATGACCATAATTCTATTTTGATCAGCTATTTAGCTGGTACCTACTGCTCTATCACCTAGTGTGAAATTTCGGAATTACTGGAACACTGAAGGAAGGTGGTGCGGCTGGAGGCTCCAGGTGGGCACGGAAGGTAAGTTACTCTTTCACATTAAAATTTGAAGTGTGTTTGGATGAGAAGGAAACCTGGTTTCTACGTATTTGCTAGTGAGAATTTATTTAGTAGTGCACTTTAACAAATGTGTTGACCATTTTGTGCCAGACACTTGGTTGGGATGTAAAGATAAAAATTGACAGGGTTCTTGACAAGACACTTAGGTTCTACTTGTAACACATGTCACTGACCAGTGAAAGTGCCACCTACTGTAACAGATGAAACGCAGGAGTGTGAGAACCTAAATGAGGAGGTGATTCTTTTTTTTTTTTTTTTTATCCTCACCCGAGGATATTTTTCCATTTTTTGTACAGATAGAGTGGAAGGGAGAGAGAGAGAGAAACATCGACGTGAAGGGACACATCGAGTGGCTGCCACCCGCACGACCAACCAGGGCCGGACCGCAGGCCGACGCTCTAACCGCTGAGCCAAACTGGCCAGGGCGAGGAGGTGATTCTTAATTCCCGGAGGTTAGTGAACAAGAGAACGAAAAATGTTGCAGAGGAATTAGAAGAAAGGTATTTGAAATGAAATGAAAAAGTTTGAGCAGAGGCATGAATTCGGGTCTTGGTTTGCCCGAGGTGCACCAAAGATAGAATAGATGTGGACTTTATGTTGGACGGCAGAGTGGAAATGGATTGGAAAGGCTAGAAGTGGAAGTGTCAAGGCCTAACCCAGAGGCCTTACAAAGGTGTCCAGTACAATGTGATCAAGGGCCTGGGGTATGTTATAAACATAGTCTAATAATTTAGTAATACACTTTGTAACATCTTACTAGTTAAAGGAAAAAATGCTAAGTATTAATGATTATATAAACTTACGAAGTGACATTAAAAAAGTAATCCAACTAACTTGTTAAAACTTCCCGTTTTTATCCAGGTCTCCAATTTACGAAATCATTCTGCTGTGAAAATGAAACTGACCTTGTTACGATCTTGGAAATTTTTTCCGGCTGAGAGAGGCTTCTCTCACCCTGGGTAAGATGTAATCATAGTATGCTAGAGCTAGAAGGAACTTGAATCCAGTTGCCTCGTCTTATGTTACATATATTTGTAATGAAGGTAAGAACATTAAGTGGCCAGCACAAATAGCTTAAATATCAGGTTTGATTAGTACTCATCAGATTTACCCCCACTCTTGCAGTCTCTCTCTTAACATGAGTGTCACATTATGGAAATTTTTTTAAACATAGTATCTGGTCATAATAACTTGAATAACGTAGACTGCATTCAGTGTTGATTTGTGTCTGTCAGTAAACATGGGCAGAATTTCTTGCCAACTGCCTTTTCCTTTCTAATAACCTTCCCTAATCAATGCCCAAGTCCTTCCTTTGGTGGCTGCCAGATGATGAGGATCAGTAAAAATCTGTTAGGTGCTTGACAGTGTCATTCACTAGTCTAGTGGTTATGGCATTTGGTAAACCCCATACACCCTAACTCTCATAGTGACAGCCCAAGAAGGTGGGCATGGGAGGGGAAACACTTGAACTGAACTGGAGCACCCCCCTCTTACCTTTTGTGGTGAAGGACTACAGAACAAAATAAAGTTTCAGGACGTCTCTTCCTTGCTCTTATCTCTGCAACTCACTGTGATACTCAAGTAATAGGACCAGTAATCATGCCAAATTCTGTCCATTGGTATCTCTTTCATGTTTATCATTTCTTAACCAGGAAGACCTCTAGCTTGTATTTTATTTAACAGATTTTTAAAAATTAATGTTGATATTTATTAAAACAAATAATTTCATAGCTTTGGAAAGGGAGAATTTTTTCCTGAATGAATACATGCGTGTCTTACATCAGTATAATACTGTGTATGTAATCCAGCAGTTATTTTTCCTTTTCACCAAACAAGTTTTGAAAGTAGTTTTTGCATACCATGTGCATGTTTAAATTCTACTTAAAAAATTAAAACCCTGCATTCTTAAACATTTAAAGCAGTTTAAAAACAACCTTTACCTGTTGTAAGAGATGGAAGAGTAGTGTCAAGCAGTGAACACATTTTTAAAATTTGCAAAGTCATACAATCCATTAAATTTGAAGTATTTTACTAGCATTGGCCTAGAAAAACCAGGAAGTATTCCCTCATTTTTTATGGTACAGTAATATGATTGTGTTATTGTTTTTTAAGGCAAGTTTGAAAATCCAGCTGGGAGAGATTTTATTTCTTAAAATGTCATCATTTATATTCACTATTTATTACAAGGAAACCTTTCTAAGCATGGTTTAAGTATGACAAGTCCACTATATAGTATACTGGTGGTAGATAACAGGGCCAGAATAAGTTCATAAAACATTCATGCAAGTAAAAAAAAGACTACAACTTACACATACTTTATTTACTTGATGGAAATCCTTCTTATGGTACATACAATGTTTTACATAATTGATTTCAGCTTGGTTCACACTAACGTCCGTGAATTGTATTTGGGTTTCTATGTTTTACTCTGTTCAGTTGCTGCTGTTGCTGTTAGTTTTCGTTCAGGATCAAGGTGGGTACTTTCATATAAAATCTTATTTTTAATTCCTTCTCTGGCTGTTCTTTCTTGGATTCTTAGCTTTGCATAATTATACCTACAATGGAACCTTGGCAGAAAAGAATATGGATAAGTCATTAATATAAAATTCCTATAGAAACATTTGAAATTGTATAGTAATAAAATTTAAGAACGCTTACAGATGAGTACTGAGACTGAAAATATAACCATTCTAATTTGGAGTACTATTTTTGGATGGTTTGGTGTCAAAGATATATATAAAATGGGGATTTCTATCACCTTGGCTTAATTTTACTTGTAGAATCTCATATAAGTGGAACCAGTACTTTGGGTCTGGCTTTTTGGCTGGAGAAAATCGATATCATAGTCATCCATGCTATATCAGTTGTAAACACATTCTTAAAGTAACAGCAGATGTGATGCTTGTTAGCAGGGATGAAATGGGCATTGGGGCAAGGTAAACAGGCCTTCCTAACGAAGTACAAACCATAACTTGGTTGGTATTAATGGCATATTTCATGTCATGCAGTCATCTACTCATTCAGCAAATGGTATAAAATATGAGTACGTAAAAGATTAAGACGTTCGAGAAATGTCATTTTGTAAGAACTTTCCATTAAAAAGTCCTTTAAAAAATAAAAAAACTGAAGGTAGGACTCTCCCAGTGGTAAATTGCTCTGAAAAGAGCAAGCACTTTGGAATGGGATAATCATGGATCTCTTGAATACTCAGTACACATACCAGCATCCTAAAGTCACCACGATAAATCCTCCTACTCCAACATCACATGATCTTCTAATTCTACCTGTCAAAAAACATAGCCACTATAATTATTATATGACATTATTACACCATCTAGAAAATAATTGTTCACCACACATAGATGTGTGTTATGTATACATGGAGAAAAACCGATACTCACTAGTTAACAAAAAATGTCCAAGGCCAGCCACAACAGATCCTAATGAACCATATAATACCGAGTCCCGTGCACAGGGAATGTTCTCAACATCTAAAATTCCTAGGAGCTTAAAGGGCTAGGGAAAAAACAAACACCTAGATTGAACAAGAAAATATAGATCACAGTGGTTTGGCAAAAATTAAACTAGAATATGTGCTATGTGATGACCAGCGTCCTGCTTTTGATATTCAATCTGAACAATTTGAATCTTAAGTGGGAAGGAAACCTTGAGAATCTAATTGACCAGAAAGCCCCAAGCATAGGATGGTAGGACACTTAAATTCATTAGATTTTGGTGTTAGACAATAATTTGCCAATAGAGCAGTTTGGAAATAGGAGCACATTTTATGAGCTCTTTAAACATCTATGAAATTACTTGGGAAATATAAATGGGATACGTATAATTTTAATGGTGTTTGCTTATACTGGAGTATAGTGCTGTTTTTAAATTACTTTAACAATGACTTTAGGTTTTATTGGTGTTGATGAGGTGAGCATCAGTTGTGTATAAGTACTTCATGTAAAGATAAACTGGCATTATAACGCCTGGTCTCTTTCCTTGGCCTGATATGAAGTTGCACTTGGTTGTATTTATCTTGTGGCCCTCAACTGAGGGCAGTACAGACTTTTAAGAAAAAGTCACACCTGTTTCATTGTGGCATCACTATTTCATCAAGTGGAAAACGTACGATACTGTTTTCTAAAACTTCATTAAATGTGGGCTTTAAATAATGTAGCTTTTAAAAGAAAGCTACTTGTAGTCCATTTAAATGGTGGTATGGTGTGAGGGCAGGCCTTAACCTAAAGGGGGAGGGTAATGTTCTGTAGGATGAGGTAATATTAGGGAAAAACAGATCGGGAAGACGTGGGGGATGGAAGATTAAAGGGTGAAACGAGAACAACATGTTCTTGATTGTGTTTTTTTCTTTTCTTCTTTGGCTCAAGCTTCTGCCAGAAAAGACAAAATGTGTGACCTGGTTCATAATAAAGCAAAAATTACATGTTCTTGGATCATTCTATTCCATTTTTCTTTGGTCTCTCCCTGCTACCCTTCTCCCACATACCTAACAGATGAACACAGCAGGTGCTCATTAATATTGCAGACTTTAATTCTGAAAGTTAATACAAATCCATGTGCAAAGAAATTGAGGGATTTGAATTCTGCTGCTTGGTTTTTCATTTTATGTAGCAAAAAATTCAGTTTCCCACTCTATTCAAAAGCCCAGTGGAACATATGGTTGGAGGTGAGGGTGTGAGCTGCACTGCAGGTAGGGAATGGGCTCTGCATCTCAGGCTAGGACTCCTAACACCCCCACGTCCAGTGTGGCGTATTTCCCAAGGGAAGGATGCTTAAGATACTAGGGCTAGAGGGTGGTTAGGAGTGCCAGCTTAAGTAGGTCCTAGAAGCAAGTGAGACCAGCATGTTAACACAGGGTAGATGTTGCAATGGCTTTCATGTTTGGGTGGCAAATGAAGGGAACCGTGGGGGGTTGGCCACAGCATACCTCTACCAAAGACTACACAAGTTCCTTTAAGGCCTCTGGGCTTTTTAAAAATCTGGATTCCCTTTCATAGTGGAGCTACACATGATCCTCCAGGATCTGCAGACATTTCTTGGAGCACTTGTGCAAGATGTCGTCAACCCCAGTCCTTGAACAAGTATAAAAAAATACTTTCCAAATATCAAATAGTGCTATTTAAGTCCTGAGCTTTTAAAGATTTTCAAGTCCCACCCATTCGATTCTGATTCATATCTGGGATGGGCCATTGGAGTCTGTTTAGAACACTTCATGTCTCTTTAAAGAAACATTGTACAGAAATTACATGCCCCATTTTAAATAGTGCCACCTGGAACCAGCGTGTGGATAGAGGCCAAGGAGTCTACAAGACATCAGCCCCACCTCCGACTTAACCTGTTGTGATGTCAGTAATGACAAGGTTGAGAAACCAACGTTGGTCTAAAGCAGTTTCAATACAGAGCTGGCAGGGGTTCTTGGTGCCCTGCCCTTTTACATCCTTTCTGTTGCGTTCTCAAGACCTCTGAGATGACCTCTGAGATGGGCTCCTCGGGGTCTGTCTTGACAGAAGGCTGTTAAGTGCTGACAAGATGGAAGCCTGCTATTTTCACTGCATTGAACCCATTGGGTATTTTTTTATAGATGAAAACCTAGGCTCACAGAGGAGTCATTTTCCAGAGATCACACATCCAGGGAGTAATAGCACTAATGTACATAGTTGTTTATCTGCAACTTGTATCAGAACTGGGTAAGAATGAACAAAATTTAAAGACCGCAATTTCCCTTCACTACCAGAGCATTCTCACCTAGAAGGGGTGGAGTTTAGACCAGCAACTTTCAACCAGTGTGCTGCAAGAATATTTTTTTAAATCCTCACCCGAGGATTTTTTTTTCCTATTTATCTTCAGATAGAGTGGGAGGGAGGGAAATATCAACATGAGAGGGACACACAGAAGGGTTGCATCCCGTGCAACCCAAGCAGGGCCAATTGACAAACCTGACAAACCACAACCAAGGTACATGCCCATGACTGGAATTGAACCAGAGACTCATTGGTCTAAGGGCCAACGCTCTAACCGCTGAGCCAGACCGGCCAGGGCGTGCTGCAAGAGTTTTTGACATGCAATACCTGGCCATGTCTAGGTGCTTCCTCAGGTTGGAGCATACTCCCATACACCAAAAGGTTGAGAGTTCAATTCCCAGTCGGCATATACCTACGATGTGGGTTCCGTCTCTGGTCAGGCCATCCTGTATATGTAGGGTGCAACCAATCTCCCTCACATTGATCCCACTCTATTCAGTTTCTTTTCCTTTCTCTCTGAAATCAATAAAAACGGCCTTGGCTGGTGTGGCTCAGTGGTTGAGCATCGACCCTGCACTAAGAGGTCGCCCTTGATTCCCAGTCAGGGCACAGGCCCAGGTTGTGAGCCCAAGTCCCAGTGGGGGGTATGCAGAAGGTGGCCAATCAATGTTCTCGATGTTTCTATCTCCCTCTCTAAAAATAAAGAAAAAAATATGGTTAGAAAAAAACAAACCATGTAATACCTAACTAGTCAGGGAAACCAACCTCTTTCCCCTTAGATTGTCACATTTTAAATATGACTAGTCAACACAACAGTAGCTGTCTGGTGTGAATCAAAATTAGACCAATTTTTTTTTTGACAGGCAAAAAGTACATTTTTGGTGTACCATCGAATTTCAGTAATAAAGTGCCATGAGATATAAAAGGTTGAAAACCAGTGGTTCAGACTACTGATTAGTTAACTTCAGGAGCAAGTATGAACTGCTGTTATGAAGTTCAGCACATGAACTGGAAGGTTCAGAAATGGAAATTAACATTTCTCTATTCCCTATCAGTTTGCCAGTTTAACTTGTCATGTATGAATTTAAGCCTTTAAACTAAGGAAATTTTAGACTAATTTTTTTGTAGACATATTTTTAAGCTTAGATTTAGAAAAGCAGGTTTAGCAACGCACCTTGATGGAAGTAAGGGAAGTAATTTATAGGAAATGGATCAGACCAAATGAAGCCACTTCTTCATGTCCCACTGCCAAATGTATCTGCCTCAGTGCCCATATCGTTTGTCCTCTTGTTACAAAGGATGAACTGGCTCTATGCCTATTTAAAACTAGTCCTAACAGTTCCTTCGAGGGTGTTTGCGCAGTTACCCCTTCTTTCATTTGCATCATTCTTTCCTCTACTATTCAGCCTAGAAACAAAAAAACTGTATCTTTTAGAACAGTGCTGTTTGGCACACGGGATGATGCCACATTGAAGTGAATTAAAGTGAGGATAGGCTTGTAAGTGGAGAACATTAACCCATTTTGCAGTGAAAGGGAGCAGAAATAAGAAATGGTAACTTAGGACCGGCCCGTGTGGCTCAATGGTTGAGCACTGACCCCTGCCCCAAGAGGTGGCTGATTACATTCCTAGTCAGGACACATGCCCAGGTTGTGGGCCAAATCCCCAGTGGGGGCACGCAGGAGGCAGCCAGTTGATATCTCTCTCCATCGATGTTTCTTTCTCTCCCTCTCTAAAATCAATTTAAAAAATTAAATACAACAAAAAGAAATGGTAACTTAGGCAGTTTGGGAGGCAAAGGGTGTGAAGAGGGGTTTTTTTGTTTCTTTTAGAACAGCGGTTTGGCTCAGCGGTTAGAGCGTCACCCTGTGGTCCAGAGAGACCCAGATTCGGTTCCCGCTAAGGGCACGTACCTCCATTGCAGTTTGGCCCCAGCCCTGGCTGGGTCATGCAGTCATGCGGGTGGCAGCCACTCGAAGTGTCCCTTTCATGTCGATGTTTCTCTCTCCCTATCTGAACAAAAAATGGAAAAATGTCCTCGGGTGAGGATAAAAAGTAAATTACTTTAAAAAAATTAATAAATAAAAGACATCCATTTGCAAAATCCATGGTATTCCACAACAGCACGTGTGGCACAGATAACCATGTTTTTTAAACAGCTGCTTTACCTCACTTCAAATATGACAGTGTCTCCTGGTTTTCTATTTCACTGGCTCTTCCCGGCAGCTTTGTTGCTATCCCCTCCTCTAATGACATCTAAATGTTGAAGTGCCCCCCAATTCCCCTCCCCCAGTCTAGTCTCTTCCTAGGTGTTTCAAGGCTTTCAATTAAATTCCATTTATAGGATGACTCCACAAATTCATAAATCAAACTCTAATCTTCCCCTAGTTTTTACTTCATCTGCCGATTTGACACCTCCTATGTCTAATAAGCACCTTGAACTTGATCTTGATTCCACCAAGATGACTATATCATTCTCCTGTTTAAACCTTCCATGATCACCCGGCTGGTGTGGCTCAGTGACTGAGCATCGACCCATGCACCAAGAGGCCGCTGGTTCGATTCCTGGTCAGGGCACATACATGCCCAGGTTGTGGGCTGAATCCCCAGTGGGGGCATGCAGGAGGCAGCCAATCGATGCTTCTATCTCTCGCTCTCCTTTCCTCTCTATCTAAAATCAATAAAGGAAAAAAATTTTATAAACCCTCCATGATCTTCAGATATGTTCTTAATATATGTACTCCTTACCGCTATGAAGGCCCTACATGATCTGGAACCTACCCTCCTTGGGTATCACTTTCCCTTGGCCTCCAGTCCAGGCACGCTACCCATTCCTCTAACATGCCCACCTAGATGGTTGTTGCTTAGCACACAATGCCTTTCTCCTGGATCTTTGGCTGGTTCAATAAATGAAATTCTTACTTACTTTTCTGATTCCCCCAGCAGAGTGTGAATTCCGTTAAGGACAGGGATTTTGCCTGTTTTGATCAAGGCTATACCTTCAGTACCTAATACTCAGTAGGTACTATGTAAATACTTTGAGTTGGTGAACTCATAAATTTAGAATTTACCTAGAGCACTTTCCTGGTAAGCACATACCAAATTTCCTATTTTAGTTCTCAAAGAGCAAAGAATGAGAGCCAAGGAAATGTATTTCTAAGGGCTTAGTTCTGTCAGGTATGCTAGCTTGAAAATTTTCCCATTTTTATCTTAGCTTTGCTGATTCTAAACATCAGTCCCTGGATTGTAGTGGAAGAGGAAATGATCACTGAAAAAAATTATTTTTAACTGCATGCTTCCTTTTCTGACATTACCCTGGGCTGCTAATTCAGACATAGCATATGTTAACTTTATTATACTCTCTGATGAGCTTTGATAGGTATTAGTGTTTCATGAACAATTTATTTACAGGGCTTTTCACAGATTTTGTTTTGCTGATGACCAATAGGTCATTAATTTTTTCTTTCATTGAATTCTATCAATTCTCAGTGGATTAAACTACCCTTATGACCATTACATGACAGTTCTATCAAAGTGAATAACCAGATACAAAAGGGATTAAAGCCACATTCCAAGATCCTAGTGTTCTCACAAAACAATAATTTCATGTACCAAATATGGAAGTTTCAAACAAGGATAGATACATTTTGTTACACTAAGCATATTCCAAACAGTATAGAGACACTACAAAAGGCACCAAGAGTTGTATAAAATTTGTTATTGGCAAAATTTTGTTATTAAATACTGGAAAAATTTTATCTAACATTTGTTCATATTAGCCATTTGATGATCTGCTGTCTTGGCCAAATGTAGGTGGAAAAAAATCCCCAGAGAAGCAAGAATTTTGAGGAAGTGAGCAAAATTTCCAAGCTGGCCAGAGAATATCCTAAAACTAGGTTAGGAGCAGGTTGGCGCACAGTGTCTTCAGTATTTGTTCATAATTGATCAGTTAATATCTATTGGGTTCCCTGCTCTTAAGGAGCCCAAGAGGAAGAGACCATTATTAACTCCCTGGGTAATGAATGGTGTAATGATATAGCTACGGGAGATGGGGACGAAAGCACCTCGGTCTGCTTTGGGGACTCAAGGCCCTTTAGGGGAGACCAGAGAGGCTAGTTTAGCGTTAGAACAGCTGGAGGGAAGCATGAGAAGCCACACTGGACAGTGAGGGGGTAGGTGGAGGGCTTTCCACGATTACAGGCCAAGGTGAGTCAAAGTGTAAGACTGGATTTTAAGCAGAGGGGAAACGACCCAGCTTACAGGCTGGCGGCCCTGACCGCCGGGGGCCGGGGGCCGGGGGCCGGGGGCCGGGGGCCGGGGGCCGGGGGCCGGGGGCCGGGGGCCGGGGGGCGCGGCGCAGGAAGGCGCGAAGACCGCCCACGGACGCCGTTGTTACAATACTGCAGCGCTCCACGAGGTCGGGAGGTTAACCGGACACCTCGACCTGCCGGCCGCCCCGCTCTGCACTCACGTTCGCGGCAATGGGACCAAGCCCCCACTTCTGGCGGTTACGGCCCCCTCCCTGTGCCGTGTGCAGCACCAAAGACGGACTGTGCTGCGGGAGCTTTTAAATCTACCTTTACCGGTAAATCACAGCGCACGGCCTGGTCCTAAAACCTTCCGCCCCAGGACCCAGGGTCGTTAGCTGTTCTGTAGTGACCGCCCCCCACCCCCGCTAGTTCTGGTCTCTTCGGTCCTGGCAGTGAATATGGCACCCCCTCCCCCGGCCGTAAGGAGGCCAACGACACGTGCTCCGGCCTCAGGTCTCAGCTCGAGGGGCCGCGTCCTTGAGCGGCGCCCGCGCCCCCGCACCCCCCCGCCCCAGCGCCCCGGGTTACCTTCCCCTTCCCGGGTTCGCCGGGCTCCGGCGCAGCTGCCATGGGGACAAGTGGGCGCCTCCCGCCCCGCCCCCGCCGAGGGCCGCCGACAGCGGAAGCCCCGCCAGCCAGGCCCCGCCTCCCCGCGCGCCGGCCGCCATCTTAGGGAACGTTTCTCCGTCGCAGTGGCCGCGCCGGCCCGGCCGTCTCCTTTGTTCAAGGAGCGGGCCACACCTTCGCCATCAGGGGCTTCCCCGCCCTGTGGCCGGGACAGGGGGAGGGCGAGGGCGAGGGGAGCGACCCCGCACCCGGCCTGCCGGCGGGGCGCGGGAGGCACGGCGCTCAGACACCTCGAGACCGCGCCTCTCCCCCACCCAGCCCCCGCCTTCCACCTCCCACCTCAACCGCCATTTCTAACCGCCGCCCGCGCGCTCGCGTGCACGGCCCTCGGGCGCGCGCCTGGGGCAGGGCGGAGGGAGCGGGCGCGCCGCCGCCGCTTTGTCCTCGCGCGGGCCCTCAGCCCGGAAGTCGGCTCGCACTGGCTCGTGGCCCGCGTCCCCTACGTGTCCTTTGTCCTTCCGGCCGCGGGGCCAGGCCCGCGTCCCGTGGTCCGCTCCACCCTGCAGCGCCGGCGGCAGCAGATTGTGCCCCCGCCTCCCCCGTTTTACCTTCAGTACCGCGGGGCTTTAAAATAGCACCTCTCGATTCGCCTAAAGGAGACTGGGGACAAAATGGAGGGATCGGCTCGGTACCGAACATGCGTCAGGCCGTCTGCCCCCCTTACAGGGCCTGAAGGACTTCGGGGTCTAAGAGCAAACGGCCTGCGACGTGCATTTCTCATGTTAGGTGGTGGCCCACGTGCACCCCGCCCTACGACCGCGAATTCACGTGAACCCTGAAGGGCCGCGTGTTGGGGTCAAGGTTGGGCGCGTGCTGACCTCTGGCGTCAGATGGGGTCAGCCGGTGCCCGCACGCTAGATGCAAGGCAGCTGCCTTTTCAGTGTTGGTGTCTTTCTGTCCACCCCAAGGTCAGTGCCCTTACGGCGACCTCGTGCCTCCTTTGTGTTCACGCCGAGTCTTTCTCTCCAAGGGTGCTCCTGGGAACGCGGTCCGGCTAGAGTGTCCCTGTGCAAAGTCAGCCGCTGATTTTGCTGGACGAGATGAGCCCCGACTTGCTGTTAGCTGTCATCAATCGAACGCTCTCTGATTCCGTGCGATGACCTTACTTTCATAATCATTTAATACCTTTCTACAGTCCCAATAAAAATAATGCAACTTATGACCTATACGTGGCAGTTATTTTTTTTAAATGACTAATGTGTGGGGAAATTGGACAGCTGCAGACGGATTACATACTGCTCTAATACTGGGAAATAGAAATAAAAGTCACCCCACCCGTGGTATCTTGCCAGTTTGGGGTTCTCAGCTGAAATTCCTGAGCTAACTGTTTTGAACTCTTGGTCTGGAAGGTAATATTTAAGGTAGTGATATTCCATAAAGGAGTAAGGAATTCTTTTGAAGTAATTCCTAATTATGCTGTAAATGAAGGAGAACGGGAAAACTACCAGGTAAAACACCGTAAAGCCACCCTATTTTATTTTTTATTGTGACTTTGAAAATTGCTAGGGTAAACTTAGTTGAGGTCCATTTCATTTGTCTTTGAAAATATTCTCATGTAATTTTTTTTATATTAATTTTAATTTCACAAAAATTGCAAAATATTTGCATGGTTGGTTTCTTCCCATTTTTACAGTTTATAGAGTGAAACATAGAAATCTCTTTCAGTTACAATCTTTCCCCCCTTTAAAGTAAACACAACTAACAGTTTGATGTGTCTCTTTCTAAATGGTTTTTTTCTTTTTCTTAATTAAAACACTGGAATATAGGGTAAAAGTGAAAATCTCTATGCCATGCCTGCCCCCATATATATGTACACATGTATCTGTATATGATACACACATATCAAAATGGCTGCACTATGTAATTTACATTCAGTAATTTACTTTTTCTCATGTAACACTATATCTTGGAAATTTTTTCATGTAAGTACTTAAAGATTTGCTCCTTCATTTAAAGCTGCTCAGCAATCCTTTAATCATTTTTCTTTCTGACTGACAAAGTTTCAGTGTTTTCATTAATGTGCCCCCCCCAAAGCTTCAGTGAGCATCTTGATGCATATATCTTTGTGTGCATGTGCAAGTATTTCTTCTGTAAGATTTCTGGAAGTGACCTGATTCAAAGGAGTATGAAATTTAAAATTTTATTCTATATTGCTAAATTGTCCTGCAAAAATACTACCAATTTACCTTCCATTAATAATGGATGAGAGTGCCTGTTTCCTCACAACCCTTTATTAATATTATTATTATTATTTCAATCCTCACTGAAGCATGTTTTTATGTTTATCTTCAGATAGAGTGGGAGGGAGGGAGAGAGACATCAATGTGAGAGGGACACATCGACTGGTTGCCTCCTGCACAACCTCAACCAGGGCCAGGGATGAACCACAACCGAGGTATGTGCCCTTGACCAGAATCAAACCTGAAACTCATTAGTCCGTGGGCCGTTGCTCTAACCGCTGAGCCAAACCTGCCAGGATGCCTCACAACCCTTTAAACACTGCATATTATCATGTTTTAAAATTTTTTGCTTATCTGATGGGTGAAAAATAGTCTTACTGCTTTAAACTTTCCTGATTACTTACAGGGTTGAGCATTCATTCAGATGTCTATTAGTCATTTTTTTCTAAGAATTACCTTGTATAGCTTTTGTTCATTCAAAAATTTGTGTGATTTTTCTTATTAGTTTATAGCAGCTCTTTATAATGATGACTTTTTAAAAAATATGTTTTTATTGATTTTTTTAGAGGAAGGGAGAGAGAGAGAGAGAGAGAAACATTTATGTGAGAGAGAAACATTAATCAGCTGCCTCCTGCATGCTTCCAACCAGGGATCAAGACTGAAACCTGGGCCTGTACCCTGACCAGGAATTGAACTGGGACCTTTCAGTTCATGGGATACAATTAAGACATTTTTTAACAGTTTTTTTTTTATTATTAATTGATTTAGGAAGGGAGAAGTAGAAACCGATCAGCCGCCTCCTGCACGCCCCCAACTGGGAATTGAGCCTGCAACACGGGGATGTTCCCTGACCCAGAATCAAACCCAGAAATCTCAGTCCATGGCTTGATGCTCAGTCCACTGAGCCACACTGACCGGTTACAATTATGACTTTTAACTCTTATTTTTGTGACATATTGTCTTCTAGTTTGCTTATTTGTTAATTTTGTTCATGGAGTTGTTGACATTAAACAAAGAGCCAGATATTTCTCCAGCAAGATGATTTTTTTTCCCCCAGGAACAACAAAGAATTGCAATTCGAGGCATGCAGTCTAATGGCCAAGGAACCAGGCACTACTCCAGAGACACTAGGAGAAGGCTCTTTTATGGAATTGAGAAGGGCTGTTGTAAACAAGGAGCCCACTGGAGGAAGCTGAAAGAGCAAAGTATAGTGACTTTTCATTGGCTGTGTTATGGCATTCTGCCATTGGCTGAGCTACTACTGGACAAGGAGGAATCTTTTTTCTTCTGATGAGCAGAGGACCTGAACAGACACTTTCCCCAAGAAGACATACAAACGACCAACAGATATATGAAAGGTGCTCGACTTCACTAGCTATAAGGGAAATATAAATCAAAATGCAAAACAGATACCACCTCATACCTGTTAGAATGGCAACTATCAACAAGATAAGAAATAACAAGTGTTGCAGAGGTTGTGGTGAAAAAGGAACCCTCATGCAGTGTTGGTGGGGATGTAAATTGGTACAGCTACTATTGAAAACAGTATGGAGATTCCTCAAAAAATTAAGAATAGAGCTACATATGACCTAACAACCCTCATGTGTATCTACCTGAAAAACTTGAAAACATTTATTCACAAAGACATATATATATGTTCATTGCAGCATTATTTACAGTAGCTAAGACATGGAAACAATGTAAGTGTCCTTTGATGCATGATTGGATAAAGATGATGTGGTACAGATATACAATGGAATACTACTCAGCCATAGGAAAAGATGAAATGCTGCCATTTATGACAACATGGATGGATCTTGAGAGTATCATGCTAAATAAAATAAGTCAGATGGAAAAGGACACGGGCCATATGATTTCACTCACGTGGGATATAAAACCGAAAACGAACCTATAAAAACTCACAGACACAGACAACAGTATGGCAGTCATCACAGGGGAAGGGGTGGGGTGGGATGGGAGGAGGTTGAAGAGGGTAAAGGGAATCAAATATATGGTGATAGAAGGAGACTAGACTTTGGGGGGTGAGCACACAATGCAGTATGTAAATGATGTATTATAGAATTGTTCACGTGAAACTTGCACTGTTAACCTATGTCACCCAATAAATCTAATTTTAAAAAAATACTTCCTAGGCCCTGGCCGATTTGGCTCAGCAGTTAGAGTGTCAACCCACTGACCGATGAGTTGCAGGTTTGATTCTGGTCAACTGTACAAACCTCGGTTGCAGTTTGTCCCCAGCCCTGGTTGGGTCGTGCCAGAGGTGACCAGTCAGTGTGGTTCTATTACATTGATGTTTCCCTCTGTCTCTCTCTCTCTCCCTCCTTCTAACTCTATCTAATGACAAATGGAAAAATATCATTGGGTGAGGAATAAAAAAAAAAAAAAACGCTTCCTAGGACAGAAGCTCATTCGAATGGCTTTCTGTGGGTGCATGCATGGGCCCACCTGGTTTTAAGTATATCCTTCTAAAATACTCCATGAGTTCTGAGATGTTGTAGGATTTTACCAGTTTGGGAGTCTTTTCTCTCTTACAAAAAAAAGAATGCATAACTCTTTTAAAACTAGTCAATTAACCTTATACCATAGTCTCTTCTACAGTAAGTAATATAAGGATATCCCAGATCATAACTCTAATAATGTATTTGTTTAGTGCTTTGTATTATTTTTCAATCTTATTGTAAAATAGGACTAGAATCTCATTGTTGAAACAAGAAACTTATATTTTATTTAGAACACATTGCTTATCTACTACACAACCTTGAAGACTA